AGTAAAATTAAGCACACAAATAAACCCTTCATACTCTATTGTAATTATGGCATGCAGTTCACTTATAACTCTAATATGAAGCCCAAAAGACAAATCTGTCAAAAACAATAATAACTACAGCAACCTGTTGAGAGAGAGGTAATATAAAAATTTATAAATTGAGACAACTAAAAGTCAACATGTGGTGGATATGGAGTTAAAGTATAGAATTTATTTTAGTTTTTTTTTTGCCTTTGTTTTTATTTCTTTATTTGTGATCTAAGATAAGCTATCTCTTAAAAATAACTTCTTGTTCTCTATAAGATGTTTTTGTAAGCCTATGGTAATCACAATGTAAAAACCTGTAGTAGAATCACTAAAAATAAAAAGCAACAAATTAAAACATACTACCAGAGAAAATCACTTAACCACAAAGGGAAATGGTAAGAAAGGGAGGATCTTAAAACAGCCAGAAAGCAGAAAATAAAATGACAGTACTAAGTTCTTATTATCAATAAGAACACTAAATGTAAATGGTCTCAATTCTCTAATTAAAAGGCATAGAGTGGCTGAATGGATAAAGACACAAGATTCAGCTATATGCTGCCTTCAATAACCCCACTTCACCTACAAAAGACACATATAGACTGAAAGTAAAGGGATGAAAAAAGATATTCCATGCAACTGGAATCCAAAAAAGGACAGGAGTAGCTATACTTATATCATGTAAAATAGACTACAAATCTAAGATCATAAAAAGAGACAAATAAGTTACTATAGAAAATAAACAGGTCAAATTCGAGAAGAGGATATAATAACTATAAATATCTATGCAGCTAATATCAGAGCTCCCAAGTATATAAAGCAAACACTAATAGATCTAAAGGAAGAGATAGACTACAATCCAGTAATAGTAAGAGACTTTAACACCCCACTTTTAGTAATGGACAGATCATCCAGACAGAAAATCAACAGAGAAATAACAGTGTTAACCTACACACTAGATCGAATATGCCTAACTGATAATTAGGGAACATTTTACCCAACTGTGGTGATATGGTTTGGCTGTGTCCCCACCAAAATCTCATATTGAATTGTAGCTCCCATAATTCCCATGTGTTTTGGAAGGACCCAGTGGGAGGTAATTGAATCATAGCGGCAGGTCTTTCCTGTGCTGTTCTTGTGATAGTGAGTAAGTCTTACATAGTGTAAAGGGGAGTTCCCCTGTACATGCTCTCTCTTGCCTGCCACCATGTAAGATGTGCCTTTGCTCCTCCTTTGCCATCCACCATGATTGTGAGGTCTCCCCAGCCATCTGAAACTTTGAGTCCGTTAAACCTCTTTTTCTTTATAAATTACCCAGTTTGGGGTATATCTGTATTACCATCATGAGAACAGACTAATACTTGTGCAGAATAAACATCATTTTAATCAACACATGGAATATTCTCCAGAATAGATCATATGTTAGGCCACAAAAGAAGTCTGAACAAGTTCAAGGAATTAGAAATCGTATCAAGTATCTTTGCTGCCCACAATTGAATAAAATGTAAATTAATAAGAGTAACCCTGGAAAATACACAGACACAGAAATTAAACAACATGCTCCTGAACAACCAATGTGTCAATGAAGAAAATAAGAAGGAAATTTTAAATTTTTTGAAACACATTAAAATGGAAATACAATATACCAAGACCTATGGGATATGACCAAACGGTTCTAACAGGGAGTTTATAGCAATAAATACCTATGTTTTAAAAGTAAAAAGACCTCAACTAGCCTAATGAACCCCAAGGAAAAGCAAGAATAAATCAAACCCCAAAAGTGAAAGAAATAATAAACACCAGAGCAGAAATAAATGAAACTGAAACTAAAAAATATACAGAAGATTAGCAGAACAAAAAGGTGTTTATTTTAAAAAGATAAGCAAAATTGACATTTAGCTAGACTAAGAAAAAAAGAAAACTCAAATAATAAAATCAGAAATGAAAAGGGGTACATAACAACTGATATCTCAGAAATACAAAGAATTTTTAGAGACTATTATGAACAACTATATGCCAGCAAACTGGAAAATCTGAAAGAAATGGATACATTCTTGGACATATACAATCTACCAAGATGGAAACATGCAGAAATAAAAAGCTTCAACAAACCAATAATGAGTAATGAGATTGAAGCCATAACAAAAACTCTCCTTTCAAAGAAAAGCCCAGGACCTGATGATTTCCCTGCTGTCATGTAACAAACATTTAGAGAAGAATTAATACCAGTTTTACTCAAACTCTTCAAAAAAATTGAAGAGGAGGGAATACTTCCACATTTATTCTACGAGGTTAGCATTACCCCGATAGCAGAACCAGATAAGGATGCAAGAAAAGAGAACTACAGGCAAATATCCCTGGATGAACATATATGCAAAAATTCTTAACAAAATATAGGCAAATCTAATTCAACAACACATTGAAAAGATTATTCACCATGACCAAGTGGGATTTATCCCAGGGATACAAGGATGGTTCAACATACACAAATCAACAACATATCTGACACCTAGAAAAACCTGAGGACTCCACCAAAAAAGCATTTGATAAAATTTAATGTCTCTTTATGACAAAAATCCTCATCAAAGTGGAGATAGAAGAAACATACCTCAAAATAACAAATGCCATACATGAGAAACCCACAGCTAACATTGTACTGAATAGGGAAAAATTAAAGCCTTTCCTCTAAGGAGTGGAACAAGGTTAAGGATGCCCAGTTTCACCAGTTTTATTTAGCATAACACTGGAGGTTCTGGCCAGAGTAATTTATTCACAGAAAAAAATAAAGGGCACCAAAACTCAAATCAGTATAGCCACTATGGAGAACAGTATGAAGTTTCCTCAAAAAACTGAAAATAGAACTACTACACGATCCAGCAATTCAACTACTGGGTGTATATCCAAAACAAAGGAAATGAATATATTTAAAAGACATCTGCACTCTCATGTTCATTGCAACACTATTCACAATAGTCAAAATATGGTATCAACCTAAGTGCCCATCAATGGATAAAGAAAATGTGTTACTTATACACAATGGAATACTATTCAGTCATAAGAAAGAATAAAATCCTGCCATTTGCAGCAACATGAATGGAACTGAAGATCATTATGTTGACTGAAATAAGCCAGACACAGAAAGACAACTATTGCATGTTCTCATTTCTATGTGGGAGCTTAAAAAGTGAATCTCATGAAGATAGAGAGTAGACTGGTGGTTACCAGAGGCTGGGAAAGCTAGGAGAAGGGGGTGAAGGGGAAGAATATATACACATAAAAAACTACATTACATATATAGTTATTACCACTTAACTGTATACTTAAAATAGTAAAGATGGTACATTTTATATGTATGTTTTACCTTAAAATTTTTTTTTTTTTAAAGTTACTTGCTTAAAGTCACATGGCTAGTTAATGGCATGCTCAAGACTGGAGCTCAGATCTGCGTCTTCAGCATACCATCCTCTTTCAGAATAGTCCTGGATGAGAAATTAGGAAGTTCTTCTGGAGCATAAGGTCATACATGAATCATTGATTCAATTATCAAAAGAGGTCTCAGAATCTCGTGTTTGGGAGACACTGAGTAACGAGTACTGGTCTAAAATGGTTTAGAAAGGAGATGAGAGCCTTGAGGAGATACAGGGGCATTGATCAAGTGACTCCTGGGAACTCCTTTCTTATTTTATGATTCAAGAGAGTAAGAAAATACCATTTTGTTGATAGTTTCAAATTAGGTAGCACATTTTCAAAGCAGTGGGGAGAAAAAAAAAGGATTCTAGAAACGACCATCTAGTAATTCAATCCCTGTTAATATAGTGGAACAAATATTAAGAGGAAAAAAATACTATCTAGGATAATGGAATTATGAGCAATAAGCATTATGGGTTTTAAAAGAACAAATCATGCCAGACAAAGTTGATTGCTTTTTTGATTAGTAGACTAAGGGAATAGAGTAGATGTAATATATCTTGATTTCAGCAAAAGGTTTGATAGTGTCTCATGAAATTTTACTCAGGAAATTAATTGAAAATGGCCTAGAGATGAGCACTGTTGTGTGAACTTCGGCACGGTGGCAGGACAGCAGAAGGGAATGAGAAACACCCATGCATCAGAGTGAGGAGACGTGGGGCAGGGAATTTCAGGTCAGGGGTTAGTTCTATTTAATTATTTCATTACTTCTCAGAAAGAAGAGGAGGCTGCTCTTACGTGAGTGAAATTCATAGTATATCTTATCCATGTGCTTTAATGAAAAAAAAAATCATTTGAAAGCTAGCAAGTCTACACAGGTTCCAATCCCAGGCTTAACCTCACTGTGAGTCCCAGGGGAAGCCCTGTTAATGCAGACAATATCAAGTAGGCCAAGAATTAACTTCAACTCTAATTCTGAATGATGAGGTGGGTGTAATGTTCTTAGCTAAGAGCTCTGCCTATTCTTGTCACCATGCCCTTGTCACCATGCCCTGTCCTGCATAGGCCCCCTTTCAACCTCAACACCTGGGAGCCCACCAAGCACTCAGAGTCTAGCACTTAATGCTATAATAAGTTATTTAGTACCTACTATGTTCCAGGCCATGGTAGGCATAAGGATAAAGGATGCCATAAATATATAAGACACAAGGATAGTTCATGGTTTGGAGTAGGTAACAGACACATTAAACTTGCAGTCATTATTGCTGTAATCAAGTTTAAACAATACTCTATGAAAAAAATACAGTAGGCTCAGAGTAACATCAAATAGGGAAAAGCAGGAGGTTAGGAGGGTCAGGGGTTGTGGAAGCCAGCCTCAAAGAGGAGCAGAGGCCAGGTGTGGTGGTTCATGCCTGTAATCCCAACACTTTGGGAGGCTAAGGTGGGCAGATACCAAGCGTAATGTCACATGCCTGTAGTACCAGCTACTTGGGGGATGGAGGCAAGAGAATCACTTGAACCTGGGAGGTCGAGGCTGCAGTGAGCTATGATGGTGCCACTGCACTCCAGTCTGGGTAGCACAGTGAGACCAAATCTCAAAAAAAAAATAAAAATAAAAATAAAAAGGGTATATTTTACCAGGTTCTCAATGGAAGGCTAGATTTTTATACAGGATGGGAAAGGAAAGGGCAATGTAGCCAGAGCATAGAGACTGGTAGGCAGCCTTTGACAAGTTCTGAAGACGATTATAATAATCATATCAGCCCTAAGTTGTGAGGATGAAGTGAAAGGTTGTCCATATAGAACATAGCACCATGCTGAGCACAGAGTAAAGGCTCAATAGTTGGAAGCCATTGTGCTGTCACCACTGATGGTGGGACCTGGGGCAAGGTAGGGTGGAGCTGGGGTGCAGCCTGAGGATGGAAAGATAGGTTTAGAGCCAGCTTGTGAAGAGGACTGTAAAAGTCAGACTTTACTGGGCAGATAATAGAAGGACATAAATAGGGGGGTAACTTGACCAGCCCCTCTTTTGCCAAGATTGCTCTGATAGCGATGAAGGAAGACTATGAGGAAGGGGTAGCCACAAGAAGACCAGGTAAGGGCCTACTCAAGTGACAGATAAAGACCCAAACCTACTCCCAAATGGAAGTGGGAGTAGAAAAAAGGCTGTGAGTCCGAGGTCTGTTTTGGTAGCTAAAGAAAAGAGAACCAGTATTTACTTAATTGTATAGTTTGGACAACTGGATATTTAGTAATGTCATTATTTTAAAAATGGAGCTCAGAAACAACAGATTTCAAGTTTGGTTTTTCATAATCCCATGAAAAGTTTCTTAAGTGGACTTATGCAAATCAAGCCTCTGAACCATGGTTGGAATGCCGTTTTCATCATTGCCACCTTTGTCGTAGAAGTGAGATTTTAGTGGGCTAACACTGAGATCATCTCTCCTGGCTCTCAGAGGCATTGGCAGTTAGAGCAGAGCTGTTTGTAGGAGGAATGTTTCAGAAGGTTTTACCTGGGAAGAACTGGGAAAGCTGTACTAATCAGAAAGAGGTAAATGAGGAACCCAGAAACAAAGGGGGTTCCTACAGGTAGTACCTTCCCTCTTTTTCCCCTCTCCTTGTGTTGTTTCAACAAAACAAGGAAAGGTTTTTCTAAGTCCTTTTCAGGGTGGTTTCATCATGGAGCAAAATGTTTCTTTGTTTTGCTGCTTGACATATAGAAAAACACTAGAAAGAAGCATTATACACACACCGACTTTAAACATAATAGGTTACAGGCTAGACCTATTAGTTATGATTTTCCTTCATTGTTACATGGAACAAAATTTAAACCTTCACAACTACTGATACCCACAGTTAGATTTTGTCCTATCTTTTATTTTAAACATCGAACAAAGGAGAATGAAAACTAGTTGAAAATACTGCCTGATTCATTGTCTGTTATGAGAAGATATTCAAATATGTCTTAGACACACAGTACAACTGTAAGTCACCCAAAATACAGTCCGGTTCTCTTGAAATGATCCCCATGAGATTAAACTCTATAGAGGGAAATTGCTTCAGGATCTCACCGATACCATCGCTGCTTGTACTCTTTCTTGGGTAAAAGTTGGTGAAGGAATTGGGGAGGGAGAGAAGGAGGATGACAGGAAGGAGGAAGGCAGGGAGAGAAATCATTCCAGTCCAAGAATTTTCTTTCAATCTCTTCCTGTAAAGCTTTGACTGATTATATTTACTTTGACTCACCTGAAGTGATTAATAAGAGTGTGGCTCCATGAAAGAATTTTGGGTCCGTGTAATCAAGACATTTTTACTTAAACTTTTTTCAATGTCCCTAAGACATAATTACTAGGTCATTTTGAAATCATGTTTTATGGTTGCTCAGGAAGATGAATATGAGAAGTTTCAGTGGGGAAATTAGGCCCGCAGTTTAGTCTGCTCTGATTTATGAATTGCCCTTTAAGGGAATATAGTGGTAGTTGAACATAGGCTTATGGGAAGACAGTGGTGTTTAGGAAGTGTGTTCAGTGGAAGGAGTATTAGCCTAATAGTCAAACTTAGCTATGAGTCAATGTGTGACTTAGTCTGATTTATTGTCAATCATCAACCAGCTCTTGAGTCCCTACTATCCACTGAACATTCTTCTAGGCCTGGAGAGCAATACATAGCAGTGAAAGATATGGTACTTATTCTAAGGAGCTCATATTTTTATCAAAAATATAAAACACAAACATGTAGCAAGGGTTAAACATGATATTATAAAAGCAGGCACACAAATTTCTCTTGGGAGGAAGCTGTCTTTATTTGGAAAAAATACCTTCATATGAAGGTCACGGATGTCTATATTTATGCATGAAAACAATGAGAGGACATTTCTGGAAAGAAGAGAAGGAAAAGATAGGACCAGTGAAGTCAACTTTGACAATTTCTTACTAGAGGGTGGTTGTAACTGTAGGAACTGGCATAAACATAAGGAGCCAGCACACCTAATGATCACCTTGAGGTTGTTTATATTCCTCTATGTATTAAAAGATACTGATAGGCCGGGTGCAGTGGCTCACGTCTGTAATCTTAGCACTTTGGGAGGCCAAGGTGGGCGGATTGCTTGAGCTCAGGAGTTCAAAACCAGCCTGGGCAACATGGTGAAACCCCGTCTCTACTAAAAATACAAACAAATTAGCTGGGCATGGCGGTGTGCGCCTGTAGTACCAGCTACTTGGGAGGATGAGGTAGGAGAATTGCTTGAACCTGGGAGGTAGGGGTTGCAGTGAGCTGAGATGACACCACTGCACTGCCTTCCAATGATAGAGCAAGATTCCATCTCCAAAAAAAAAACCAAAAAACCAGATATTCATAAAAGACACAGTATGATACTCCATAAACATATGAGAGTTCAACAGATAGGGCATTTCTTCCATTGGCCTCTGTTGGGTCTCAGTTTTCTGCTATGTCGGCTGTAAATGACACAGACTGGCCATTTCAGTGTGTAAGTGGAGGATAGAGTGGACACGAGGACCAGAGAGTCAGACTGCTCGAGTACAAATCTTGGCTCCATATTTATTCACTGTATGATCTCCAGAAAGTGACTTTATCTCTCACTTGTGCCATGCAAATAGAGAGTCCTGCCTTATAGGATTTTTATGAGAATGATGTGATTAATATATGACAGGTCATAGAACATCACCTGTTAAGACCTAAACAATCATGTTATTTTTCTTGTTAAAGTTCAAAATGATTCCACACCTATGTGTCCTCTCAACATTGACATAAACTATTCTTATTCGAATCATAGAAGTGGAAATATTTCTTCATTCAATGAAAATGCAATGAGCCAGATAGGGTGGTGAGTCCTGGAGTTGACAATCACAGCATCAGTGCAAAATGGCAATGCCTCTCTCATCTAATCTTCTGGCCCATTAGAGAGCCCCTAACTAGATAAAGAGAAGAAGCAAGAGGGTTAGCATGATGCACTGGAGGAGTGAAGTTAGACCCATCTGACTGTGCTTCCTATAGCTGTATGACTTCCATTGAGATGCTTAATTTCTCTGAATCTTGGCTTTATCACCTATCAAATAAGAATAATAACATCTTGTTTTAGGACTGTGATGAGATTTAAATGAGTCAACATATATAAAATCCCTACAAGAATGTGTAACACTCAATAAATACCACTGTCTTCAGTCTCTTTCCATAACTATGTGGCAAGGAGCCAGAGAGGAGCAGAGTAAGTGCTTTTGACTGCCCAGGAAGATGTCCAGTGTGAACACTTCGTGCAAGAAGTCAACCAAATGAGAAGTTGAGGGAGCACCACGGTTTCCATGAGGGCATTGTGTGGTCTCCTTCTTCTGTGCCTTTACAGCTGATGCAGTACTTCAAGGTAGAACTGGGGAGGGTTGTTTAATCACATTCAGGAAGAGACATAAGTTATGAAAACGCAAGGAAACTGAGAAGACCCCAAAGGAAAGAAAGCTGTGAGCTTTGGAACAGCTGTGCACACTTCAGCCTTCCATGGTCCCCTGCCTGTCTGCTTGCCTCTACCCACTCTTCTGACCACCCCCTTGGTCCCCCTTTCTCCCCTCTCCCTGGGCCCTTTCTTTCCTCACCTTCTCCTGGTTTCCCTCATCCCCTTTTCACCCTGACTTCCTCGTATATATCTTTTCTTCTTTTCTTTCTCATCACACCCCATCTCTACCACTCCCCTCTTTTAAAAAGAGAATTGTGTGAAGCATTGGCCTGGGAATTGATGGAGTTGAGTGACTGGCATCCAGGGGGTGGCCTTGTCCCCACAGGTAACTTCCTCAAGAGGGGCCTCGAGAGGGAGAGGCTGAACTTCAGCACGCTTGCCCACCTGTCTTGGCAACTCTTCTTGTTCCCAGTTCCTCTGAACAAATTGGGCACAGATCACTCAGGCTTTAAAGTGTTATCTGGTTTGTGTTCACAGTCAGTCCACAGTACAGCTGTTACTGCATTTTCTGGACTAGGATTTAACCACATGACCAGTCAGGAAGCATGTCTGTGGGTACAGAGCCTGACTGGGCCCTGGGTCGCAGAGGAACCATGCTGGACAGAGGAACCGTGGTAGACAGAGGGACCGTGGTGGATAGAAGGACCGTACTGGACAGACTCTCGGTGCCCCCATTGTCCATAGCACATCCATGGCTTATTTGGAAAGGACAAGGCTTCCTCCCATAATTTTACACACTAAAGGACTATTTTATTTCATGTCCTGAAAGTGGGGTATCACTTTTTAAAAGATGGAGTCTTGCTAATAATATTTTAAAACTGGATATATAAGAAGGGGCATACTAGAGCAAGGTAAAGGGAGAAAGGACAGAGCTGGGGGGGAAGAGATGAGAACAAAGGAGAAAGGTGAAAAGAAAATAAAGTGCAGCAGACAAGAAGAGAAGGAGGCAGGGACAGAGGGCTCCTCTAAGAGACTGATGGTAATCAATCTCTTTTCTTTAAAAATTATCCAGTCTGTAGTATTCTGTTATAACGATATAAGACAGAATAAGACAGTCTGTTGTGTTGAAGTAGACCGTCAGAAATGCCTGGTCCCTGGGGACAGATGTTGCAAATGTGAACATGGGTTGGTTTATGTGGTAGACTGGTAGAACTGTTTGTTTGTTTAATAACTGGGGTCCAGCCCAGCCCTGAGAGAATGACTGATTCACTTCGCCTCCCCAGATGTCAGTCCCTGTTGTATAACGTAATGCTTAGAATGCCCGACCCTTCTTAAGGGGCTTCTCACAGACAGTGTGTGACCAGGTTTTGTGACCAGTTGAGAGCCTAGACTGTGCTGTCACAATAAATAGCTCACCATGGAGACCCTATCCCATCTCCTAGCCCACCTTCCCCAGGCAGAACAGCCCACTCCTGGGTGTAGTGATGTCAGTGGTACGCACTTGCCTTCCTGGAAACCTCACCTACTGATTTACCGTGGAATCCTAAATACAGTCTATAAATGCAATGCTAATTTCATTAAGTAGCATTGTTCCCAGTGAAACTGCAAATCTCCCTATCAGTCACTAATGCTTTCGTTTGAGTGGGTTTAGAGGATCCCTATCACTCCTTTTAACTACCTGCAGCAGGCTT